CACAAGAACGTCGAATCTGAATCACTTGAATAAAACACGGGGGTGCTTAACTTTTTTCCAGGTGTATATATGAATGAAAAGGGATTAGTTTAAAATTTTATTTCATTTTATGTTAATAATTTTAATTTAGTTTTGAGGATGGAACAGCCGAGATGGACCAATAACTCCCATGTTGTCCCAAAATATTATGTTATGTTATATTATTTCAACATTACAAATAATTGCTACTAAGATGTATCAACCATTGCTTCCACAGGCTGATGTTGCTCATAAAAAAAACTTCTTCACATATCACAGTTACACAGCCTAAACTACTCATTAAACATTATCCATGTATGATAAATATTTAACACTGTAACTAAAAGCAATTCATTTAAATAGTGAGAAAGAATAAAAATTGTCCAACATTTACTTTAAGGAGTTTGTTACACAATGAGATAAAACAGGTACATGATCATCTGATGAGATCTAACAGGCTGATTATAATGCTACACCCTTCTGAAGGTAAACATTCTTTCTTGAATAAGAGGACCCAAAAAACAACACTAAACTCAGTACTCTGACTAACACCCAATCATTATAATAATTACAATTATTTTTCACTATGACAGCTAATCATCTGACAAGCAAGTGCATAAAATGGAATTAGCTACATCTTTAAGCATGCTAATTAAATCAAGTACTTACTAGCAGTCATTTTGAGCCTTTTTACTTAGTGTATTGATGGAGCCTGTAACCAGCATTCCAACACACAACAATATTTGTGGCAAAGTCAAGACCATAATTACAGTAGGGTAACTTTGGTAATACTATGCACTTTAAGAATTTCTAGAAAAAACAACAAACAAAACACAAACAAAATTTAAATTTGTCAATCTGATACAATTAAAGTAACTTATATTATTCAAATGCAATATATCTTCCTCTTGCTTAGATTTTAGATTATTTAACACAAGTATGTTTATGAAACTATAGCTTGCTAATGTTTAAGAATTATGCAAACATTATTTTCTAAATTTAAAGTTTAATTTTTGTTTGCAAAAAATGGGGAAACTGACATGTATATAAAAAATTAACAAAAAAAATTACCTACAGGAATGAAAATAGAATCTCCAACCAATTCAGTAGTAAAAACTATATAAACTTCATAGTTCATGTTATAACTAAACATTTGTTATACATTACAAGAGAAAAATATTAATACATTAGATATCTTATTAATGCACTCACAAACAGATTTTATTTATTTAGTTATCATAAGTTATGGTTACAAGAAAACAATATCAATGTAATTGCATTACAAGCATTTCATAAAATTGGTCGATGCCTTTAGCAAAATATTTTCATAAAAACAAATGAATAATTTATAATTTTGAAATATCGTACACACATTTTATCTTTGTATTATTATTTTCCATTACTATCATCATTACTGGTTATTCAAATTAACTTTTAAGTTTGGGGACATACTCTAGCTTGTCTCTACTGGTACTACTACTAGTGCTATTACTATTGATAGTAAAGATATTGAATATTGAAGATGTGGAATATTTGCCAAAAAATATACCCTGCTGTATTTTAATTTCTTAATTAACACTAACTGTTTTATCACACATAGGTAAAACGATTACTATAACTGAACTGTCGCTTTCGTACCACTACATAAAATTAGAAAATATAATACAAATTACTAAGTTAGTGCACTCGCACTTTACTGTTTTTGGACTTTAATCTTAAACTAAAAGTTTAGTTACCACAGTACCAGAAAGCATAACTATAAGCACAGCAAAGACAACAGTTGAAGAAACAAAGGAACCTTGACACATAATAATACTAAAAATAAATAAATTTTAAAGTGTAGCTAAAAATAAAACACATTAATAAATAAAACTATTTATTATAACAACTTGTTTACCCCTCTTCACTTCTAAGTTCTATCACACGACCAAAACATGCAACAAAAAACTAATGGCTGTCAAAACAAATTTTTGATATCACGTGACAGTTGTATTGCCATGAGTGATCGCCCTCTATATTAAAATTATAGATATATGTAGTTGTCCACAATTATTTATACAAAAAAGACAAGCTGTAAATTGTTATTGATAATTTCTGGCTACTGAATATAAAATAAAATATTGTTTGTTGTAAAGCACAAAACAACACAGTGTGAACCCGCAGACTTACCACTGAGTGAATGGGGTCATGAAATAAAATAAATTAGCCTTTAACGTAGACATCGTGTAATATATTGAAAACTAACTTATTCTACAAATCATTATATTTACATATATATATATTGTTGCGTCAGCGAGGTCACGTGACTAGTGTCATGCCACCTCTCGAACCTTCAGGAATAGTCGGGAGATTACTAGATATAGGGTAGTCTGGTATATATATAAGAGGGTGACAACGTGACGGAATAATGTGTGTGTTTAGGTAATGAGTAATTGAACTGCAGTTAGAGAGAGACGTATTGTTGAAGTCTAGCTCGTGATACGTGAATTATAGTTTGTTATAGCGCAACTGTTGAAGTTGAGTGTATCGGTAAAGTTATATTCAGAAAGAATAAACCAGTTTTATTTAAGAAAGGACTTGTGTCACTAAAGTTTCGTCGGAAACTAAGTTACGGAAAATTAATTAACAAACGGAGACGTAACGAGATAATAACAGTTTTTGACATGACATAATAAATATATAACAATATTTGTATATGGAAGGCACATATAGTAATATAAGAGTAACTTGACAGACAACAATATACAAGCATAATAAGGTACTTATATTTTTGTGGAACGTACTATATGTTTCCGCAGATAGATTTGTTTTGAATTTCGCCCAATGCTACATGAGGGCTATCTGCGCTAGCAGTCCCTAATTTAGCAATGTAAGACTAGAGAGAAGACAGCTAGTCATCACCACCCACCGCCAACTCTTGGGCTACTCTTTTACCAACGAATAGTGGGATTGACACATTAGAACGCCCCACGGCTGAAAGGGCGAGCATGTTTGGTGTGACGGGGATTCGAACCCGCGACTTTCAGATTGAGAGTCGAGTGCCCTAATCACCTGGCCATACCGGGCCCCGCAGATAGAAGTAAACACACCAATGTTTTGTCGAAGCATGTAGTATTTTCTTCCGAACAAAACCACTTTATTTTCATGGAGGTGATAAAAATTGTCACAGTAATTATAGCCTCATTAGTCTTACACCAGTTGTGCAAAAAGTTTTGGAAAGTCCGATAAAAGATGCTTTGCAAAACCACTTAACAAAATTTGGAATTTTATTGGATTGTCAACATGGTTTCATTAAGGGAAAATCTTGCCTTACAAATCTTTGACATTCTTTGTAAGGGTTACTGTTTATGTAGATGAGGGTAAAGGTGTAGATTTGGTATATCTGGATTTTCAAAAAAAATTTGACAAGATGCCACATAAAAATTATCTGGTAATAATTATCTCTGTAGATGTGGGGGTTTTAAATTAGCAAACTGTATAGAAGAGTGGGTGGATGAAAGAAAGCAGAGTGTTGTTATAAATGGAGTTCAGTCAAACTGGATTAGTACCTTTGCTTTTTTGATTTACATTAATGACATAGATGAAGAAATGGTCAATAAATTGCTTAAATTTGCAGATGATATTAAGGTATTGGGCGTTGCTAGCTGCGAAGAGGATGCTGATGATTTACAAGGGATTTAGATCATTTAGTGAGTTGGGCAAATAAGAGCAGATGGGTTTTAATCACAATAAATGCCAGATAATGCATGTGGGTTATCATAATTTGAATTATAAGTATAATTTGGATGGGAATAACCTTAATAGTGTTATGAAGTAAAGGGATCTTGGTGTAATAGTCAAACAGTCTCTAAAACCATCCAAGCAGTGTGCTGTTGTTAGTGGTATGGAAATAGGATTTCTGGTTCTATCTACAGAAATATTGAATACGGGTCTAAAGAAGTTATACTTTCATTGTATAGGTGATTGGTTAGGCCACGTTTGGAGTGTTGTGTTCAGTCTTGGGCTCCTTACCTTAGGAAAGACAATATACTGTTGGAAGGGGTTCAGATGGGGTTACTAGAAGGGTGCCTGGGATGGAGGGGTTGTCATACGAGGAGAGGTTGAGATTTCTCACCTTTTTTCTCTTGAAAAAAAAAGAAAAGAAAAGTTAGGGGGTCTGATTGAGGGTGTTGAAGATAGTAAGGGGAATTGATAGTGTTGATGCATCATCTTTTTTCATACTTAACAGTGAAAACAGTTAGATTAGGAGACTCAAATATAAATTTGGACAGGGTAGGAGTCATCTACAGTTATATTTTTCTAACAGTGTGGTTGGCTTTTGGAATGGCTTGCCTTTGGATGTTGTGGATGCAGTAAATTAAAGGGAGTTTAAGAGAAAGCTTGATAACTATATAATTACTCATCTGCTTGTTTGTTAATTTCTGGTATAGATTCTTTCCGAGGAATTTCAGCGATACAAGAACTTTGTCCTTTGTTAATTAAACCAGTTTATTTTTCCCTCGACACAGCTTTGTAATACACAGAATTTCCAATCAGTAAATTAAACTGAACTTCTTTTATAACACACGCTATAAATCACAATGATTCACACACTTTACTTATGGTGCCTACTGTTTGCTTGACTCAATTATCTATATCTTCAATCTATCTCCATATCTATATATCGCTGGCTTTATTTGCCGGGCTTATATACTAAAAAAGAGGGCGTCTGGGAAATGCACAACTTCCTGTAACTTTCTCGGTATAACTGTTTGCCAGGTCGTCACTTTCCCATCTCCGGAGAAGAATATCATTTTCAAGCTTTACTTGGTCCCATTGTGCCCAATAGTTTTTTGTCACAGGGCTTAAGCTAGACACCTTTTCCCAAGCAGGGCGCAAAACACTTGCTTGTAGAAAATCAATTATTGGCTTCAAATCTTGGTTTTTCTCCTGTTCTGCTTTAATATCTATACTTTGTTCCACTTCACCATCATCAACTCCTCTAGTCACTTTGACTTCAGCTTGATGGCACCTGGTCAATTCAACCTCTCTGTTGCAACAATGTCTGCAGTCATTTTTGCAGGGTCTTCGGCTCACTCCGTTGGCATTTCCATGAGATTTTCCTTCTCTGTATTTAATATCATAATTATACTGGTCTATCTTTCTGATCCAACGCATCACTTGTCCCTCTGGGTTCTTTAATGATCTTAACCAGCGTAATGTAGTATGGTCTGTCCTGATGGTAAACCTGGTGCCATAGAGATAAGGATGGAAAAATGTCAGACTCTTTACTATAGCAAGGAGTTCCCTCCATGTTACACAGTAGTTCCTCTCTGGTCTACTCAGGACCCCACTGAAGTAGGCCACCACATGTTCGTTTTCACCAATTTTCTGAGACACCACTCCTCCAATTCCGACATTACTAGCATCACAATCCAGTATATATGGCAGTGAGGGATTTGGAAGCTTTAAAAGTGGCGCGGAGGCCAATTTTTCTTTCAATGTCTTGAAAGCATGGTGGCAAGAAACTGTCCATTCGAACTTCTGGCCTTTTTTTGTCAAATCATGTAGTGGAGCAGCTATAGTTGCAAAGTCCTTCTCAAACTTCCGGTAATAGGAACAGAGCTTCTTAACTCTCCCACATTGTTTGATGTTGGCCAATCACATACTACTTTCACCTTGTCAGGATCAGTTAGCACACCATGCTCACTTACAATGTGACCCAAGTAAAGCACCTCTTTCTGGAACAAATGGCATTTCATGCTGCTTTCAAATGATTGAATACTTCCTCTAGCCGGGACATTTCCTCATCAAATGTTGTTGCAAACACAATGACATCATCCAAGTACACTAGGGCTATCCTCCATTGTAGGCCTTCCATTACTCTTTCCATCAGCCTCTCAAAATGTTCGTTGGGGTATTGCTAAGCCCGAATGGCATAACACAATGTTGCCAGAGACCTTGTTTCAGCCATTTTCATTTGATGGAAACCCGACTGTAAGTCCAGAGTTGAAAACCATCTGGCTCCACTTAGCGCATCAAGAATATCATCAATTCCTGGCAGTGGGTGTGAGTCTTTTTCGGTTATGCTGTTAAGAGCCCTGAAGTCCACACATCAACGTTGGGTCCCATCCTTTTTCTGGACTAACACGACGGGAGCTGACCAAGGACTATCTGATTTCT